TAATTAGTATATGCAAACAAGGTCCTACAAAGATACTAAGAGAATATAATGCATACTGACATAAAAATACGTTTAAAACGGGACACCTGCATGGTTTAGTCAGTTAAGTGTCTGCCTTTGGTTCAGGTCATGATCCCAGGGTCCTGAGATCCAGCCCCACATCAGGCTCTCTGCTCAGCAGGGAGCCTGCTTCCCCTTCTCTCTCTGCCTGCCTCTCTGCCTACTTGTGATTTCCCTCTCTGTGTCATATAAATAAGTAAAATCTTAAAAAAAGAAAAAAAGATGCAAAGAGAGATGTTCAAAAACAGGGAGTGTCATTTCAACTCCTATTTTCTCATGACCTCAGGAAAACAAGAGCAACTGGTTGTTATTCCATGAAGGGATTCCTGTTTTCCATTTGTTTTTCCAAATGACATGAATACCAAAAAGTCATTATTATAAAACTAACATATTCAGGTGATTTAAGGATGTGCTTAAGATGAAATCAGAAATCACCTAGAGTTGCGCCATATTGTCTACTGAATGGTCCTCCTTGAACAACACTGCCTCTGGACAAATAAATACAGCCGTAGATACCTAGAGAATGTCTGAGTTTTGTTCTGAGTGACCCAAGTGGGGCTCCAACATGAAGCTGGGGTTTTGAGCAATCCTCAGAGAGGATGACATAGGCTTGGTTTTGCCTCTTTGAAGATGGCACCAGGAGAGAAGAAGGGGACAATAATTCAAAGAGCCAAGAGATATCTTCATTTGAATTTCAACAAAATTTCTTATTTGATCTTTAATACCTATTTCCTTTAATTAACCTAAATATCACAATCTTTTTATTTAAAAAATTGCTTACTGAGCATTTGCATTGGCCAGGCATTTTCCTATGCCCTGTAGATTGCATTATTTTATAGTTTCCCCAAAGAAACAGGAGCCTAAAGAAACAAAAGCTTCATACATAAGGCACACAAGACAGTAAAGTCAAAATCTGGAATATTTGCATGAAGAAAGAAAGAAACCTATGTGAATATAGGACAGATTTCTTTCTTTTGGATATGAGAACTTTTTCCCAGAATTAGGATTTAGTTTGAATTCTTTAAAGCTTTCTTCACATTTAATATAATTGAGATTGCCTATACTTAATTAATTAAATGTCACAATTCCAATATAATTATTTTATGAATAATTATATTAGCTGTCTTCTGTTTTAATCACCATGCCACTTTTTATCTTTATCGATGACTCTCTTAAAATGTTGAGCCACGAGCTTTACATGATTCCATAAAAATCCGGGTAAGAAATAAAATATTGTAATATTCAAATGAGTTCTTTATGACAAAATATTTCCTAAATAATTTCCTCTTAACCTAATTATTCTTAACCTTAACTTAACCTAATTTTATTCTCATTATATAGAGTACAGAAATGTTTGGGGTTGCTTTCTGGCCTTATGATGATGTCTGCTCTTAGTTGCCAGCAACAAGAGACACCCTTTTTCAAATTATGTAATAATTCTCCAATATACCTAGATTTGAAAATGTATAGCCTTTGGAAGATTCGCAAACCATGCAGGGGCTTTACTGAAAAACTATACCATTTTAATTTTTTGTTGTTTTTTAATTGAAATATAAGACATTTAGGTGATGTGAGAAATATAGAGAAAATCTATCTAAAATGTTAACACTTTCATTTGTGAATTATAAGCATAAGTCTGTTGGTCTTCACATAATTTTAGTAATAGAATACTTAATCATATAGATTGTTCTCTTTAACATATTATCAGAAACATTTTGATATAAAAAAAGATGCATTCATATCTCATATGGTAAGTCTGTAATTTTGGAGGCAAGCTGTTTCTTATTCCAGTGTGTTATTTGCCTGGTTAGCTCAGATGATTGGACCATGGGCCAAAACTGATGAAGGTTATAGTTTCAATTTCTAGGTAGGTCAGTTAGCTTTACTCTGTTTCATGGCCACATGAAGGGACTAAATGACTTAGAAAGAAAATGTGGACATAATAGCCTGAATTTATCCCCTGTGCTGGAAAAAGTACCCATAGTACAAGACCTAGGTTTGTGCCAATCTGGAAGTCTTTAGCGTCAGGACGGAAAAAACAACAACAAAAAATAAAGCAAGAGAAGAAAAACCCTGACCCCACCCCCCAAACACAAAAACTGAATGCTATATAGCTTTCATTTCCATAATATAACATAAAGACCTGCCTTTTCTTTTTATAGTTAGAGTCAAGGGGCTCCAGCTGATCACCTGCCTAAAATTATTGCAAGCCTGGTGGGAAGCATTCAAGGAGGCATAGTCATGTTTTCATTTCACTAGGAAATCATTTAGCAAATTACTGCTGTCCTGTAAATTGCTGTGCTGCGTAATTTTCATACTGAGAAACTATTTCCCTTTTTCCATAAAAATTGCGGATAAAAGGTTCCTATAATAAATAACCCGTATTTAAAACAAACCAATTCCCAGGATTTGGGGACGGTGATAGAGCACTTCTCAGGTGAAAATAAAAACAAATACATTTTATTACCAATATTTAAAAACTATATATTCTCTGTTAAAGTCAGATTTTCATTTATTGTTTGTTTACTTTGTTACCCTTTGAGGGGAATGGAGAGAGGCTTCTGAAGACAAAATAACAAGCTAAGTACTTATTTTTGGAAAGAAAAAGAACTAAGTTTGGAAATCAGAGCTCTTTAAGCCAAAGTCTTATATCTTGAAGAGAGTCCCACAATCAGTAATCAGCCTAAATAGAACACGGTATTGGGAGCAATTTTTACTATGCCAAGTTCTGTCTAAAATGTTGGTCTGAAGGGAAATAACTTAATTCTTTTAATTTTGTGTCGAGGTGATAAGCCCAAATATAATCTGGAGAAAGATGGCCTAGGATCACATTCCAAGTATGGTGAACCCTGCTGATGTAGCAGTAAGCATTACAAAAGGACTAATTTCTCTGGCCTTTTCCAGAAGCACTTGGATAATGAAACACAGAGCTGTTTTTTCCATTTCAGTGGCAAGAAGACAGAAAAGCAGAGGCAGGGGAGAAATCTTTCCTTCAGAGAAAGAGGTCCCATTTCAGTGCTGTCTTTTTGTAACAGAAAGCTTTGGAAACAAAATTGAATGACTGATATTCACAAACACTAATGGATATTAAGAAGTTTCACCCTAAACTTAAAGGTTGCTAAGACTAATAAAGAGAAAATGCTTCATGGTGGCTAAAATTTTTAAACAGTCACATTCGATGCATAGTAAAAGTAAAGGTCCTGATATCTAGAACTTGTTATAACATCACTGGACTTAAATATCTGATACTTGAGTCCACAGTTAAAAAATGTTGTGCAAACAGGGAGAAGATTCAGAAGAAATGGCCTAAGCGTGCTTTTATTGTTGCAAATTAAAGCTTTGAGGAAAAGAGTAAAAGAACTGTTATGATTCAGTTTGAAGATGAGTCGACGAAAATGATCTTTATCATTTTTTCCCAACCTTTCTCAACCTGTGGTCCTCATCTAAACCACAGAGTACAAAAACTAATGTGACTCTTTTCTCAGTTCTTCTGTGGGTGGTACATAAAAGAGTGCCATTCTAGATCCATTGAGGAGATGTGAATTCATTACAAACAAGGCTGCCTTCGGGCACCACGACTCAATTCTCTCTTGTAAAGGATGTTGATAACAATTGGATACACAGTAGAACATAATGTTGGCAAGATATCCGAAGCCTAGAAAATGCACTTAAAGAAGCGGGTTATCTGTAGACAAGATAAAGGGTGGATTTCCTAAGGCTAAATGACTTAGCATTTTACCTTTATAGAGTCTGTTGAGGAAAATTACAGTTTCCTTCTTCCAGGATTTTGGAGCTGGGATTTATTTTCTTCTCACCAGAATAGGATGAAGTGCGTAGTCTCTGAAGGCGGAGGTCTTGTCCCACCCTGCAATGGGTGCGTTTGGTTCTTCCCAAGTGGAGTTATTCAAATGTCTAACGTGGAGAAGCTCTGAGGGTAGAAGGGGAAAGAACTAGGTATGCTGATAGGGCTGATGGGTAGTGGCCTGAGATACATCTCCTCCCCAAGGAACCCATCTCATGATGCGGGGAAGGACACATTTACCCGTGTCAGGGAAGTCAAGGAAAGAAACTTGACGTTGACCAAGAGAACTCTGACGGTAAAGGCTTCTTGAGAAGATTAGAACTTCATAGTTCTGCCTAGGTTCTTCAAAATATCTTTTGTTACATCTCTAGTATTAATTTTTTTTTCAAAGAAAATGTTGAATCTAGAAAACTGACTTGATAACACAGTTACCAATCTGAATATAAATAATTGTTCTTCAGAATTATAAAGATGTAGAAGACAAACTAAATAAGGCAGAGTCAACGAAAATGGTGGTGTTTTACTATCTAAAAGCAACCTGGTTTCTATGTTGATTTTTCTGGTGAACGCAGACATCAGAAAATTCCGAATACTTTTTAAGTTTTTTTTAGTTAAATTCCAAGTAATTGAAGTCCTACTATCTGTTGTTGCCCAGAGAGATATTTTACTCATGACTCCACGTTATCATGATTCTAGAACTGTCCACAAAGATCACTATTGAGTTGGATTATACATTTAAACTACAAATGACTTTTTCCGATGTTACTTTAAGGAGTATTTGGACAAGGCATCAGTCAAACTGTGGATACAATCTGCTTTCTCTGGCAACTTATCATTAATGTAAAATGAGAGTCCATATTGATCTTTGCTTATGCAAGCAGTTCACATGAATTCCATGAAACTGCAAGTGAGCAAAAAAAAAAAAAAAAAAGGCAAACTTTGTCTTCTAGGAAAGCAGGGCTTGAATATTTGAGTGCAAATATCTCTTTTATAATAAACAAATATATTGTTTACTCACGGAAGTTTCAAATGTAACGAAGTCAAGGTTGGTACAGTTAAAATAGCTCAAAGACGAATGAGTACATGAATAAAACTTGTTTTGCCTTCTCCTAAATGCTGCCCTCTTTTCCATTTACAGCTATTCAAGAGCAAGAAGATGAATCTGTGCCCCTATCCTTAAGCCCAGACAACTCCTTAAATAAGTCACAGTTAGACGACTGCCCAAGGGACTCTGGTTGTTATATCTCATCAGAAAATTCAGATAATGGCAAAGAAGATCTGGAGTCTGAAAATCTCTCTGACATGGTACGGAAGATTACAATCACAGAGCCAAGTGACTGAACACACATTCTCAACTATATATCTACAAACGCATTCCATTTTAACTCTACTTGAACTAAAAGATCAAATAAATGGGAGAGAAAGAAAACATTTGGCGATACAACCTAAAGAGAAAGTGTTTTAATCTGAATGATTTTATATAAAAGTTCATGTCTCTAACATTCCCAATTATTGTAAATAGTATGTATATTTATTATTTTAAATGCTACATGTTAATATTTCACTTGCCTATATTAGAAAAGGCATAGTATAAGTCTTTGATATGTGTGACATAAGCTATATTCAGCTTTGTTTAAGTGTGAAATGATAAATTCTGCAGGAAAAAAACTCCTCTTTTTTTCATAACTGTTGGTTTTGCATTTGTGTCTATTATTCAATAAATAGTAATGAAGCATTTGTCTGTTTAACCAACTGTCCAAGCAGCATTCACACTCATTTTTATACTTACTGGGAAAGCATGAGTTAATACTGGAGACATTTTATCCTGATCCACAGTGGAGTTTTAGAAATTATTTTTTGCTAATTTCTTCACTGTTATCTGGTATAAAAGTAGAGATAACAAGACATTGTTGACTCTCATTGAGTAAAATGAATTTTAATAATTGTACAGATGTTTCATCTTTAATTGTAAATATTTTTAATTGTGAAATACCTTAATTTTAAATAATAAAAATAACTATGTGCATTTGCTATTTTCCAGACTACTAGTACTTAAATGTATTTTTATATTAGACCTCTAGACAAAATATCTATTACCAGAAGTTTTATAGTCTGTCTGATATACAGCATATATATGTGTATACGTATATACACACATATATATATGATTCCCAAATGAATTACCTCACTTCCATCTGTCTCCTGAACCCCAGGTCTGTGTTATCCAACTTCCTGAACACTTCTATGTATTTGTCAGCTCAGTCTGCCATAATAAAATATCATAGACTAGGTGGCTTAAACAACAGAAACTTATTTTCTTAGAATTCTGAAGGCCAAAAGTTCAGGATCATGTTGCAGCATGGCTGGATTCTAATGAGAGTTCTTCCTGGCTCACAGATAGCTGCCTTCTCACCATATCCTCACACGTCAGAGATAGCAAGCTTTCCGGTGATTTTTCTTAGAAGGGCACTGATCCAATCACGAAGGCCCCACCTTCACATCCTCATTTAAACCTAATTATCTCCCCAAAACACCATCTACAAATACCATATATAGGGGGCTAATGCTTCAACATTCTAATTTGTGGGGAAAGGAGTCCAACATAGGACTCTAGAAGCTTCAGATCAACATAGCCAAATCTCTGACTTTTCTCTACAAATTTGTCTCTGCTTTTTTATTCCAAACAAATCTCTTTCTTTAATGACGCCAATACCCAACCAGTTACCCCAAAGAGAAAATCATTTCTCATATCATCTCATATATACCCTTCTCATAGATTCAATTCTCACAGATTCAGTATGTAATCAAGTCCTACCTCTAGAAGTGCTTTGCCATTCATGACTTTCTAACCCTTCCTATGGTTGCTGTCTTGCTTTGGAACCTCATGAGCTCATTTATGAAATAGTGCAATAGCTTTCCAACTGACCCCTATTCTACCAGTGCCCTACCTTTTAATCCATCCTCCAACAGCCTCCAGAAAGGTCCAGCATGTAAATCAAATCATGACTTCCAGCTTGAAGTTGTTTTTTGTTTTGTTTTGTTTTGTCTTATAGCTCCTCACTATCTTCAGTATAATTTTTTAACTTTCTTCCAGGGTATATAAGTTTCTTCTCAACCACTTTTTACCTACCCTATGAATCATATCTTTCCTCCCCCTCCTCTTACTCTACACTCTCTATAATCTACTTGCAATTCCACAAATTCACAATTTCTTTTGGGACTTTTCTTATGCTATTTATTTTCCTGGAGTGGCTCCTATTTTTTTTACATCCAAGAGTCTCCCTTTGTTTTCTGTTTTAAGATTCATCACAAAAGTCACTTACTCTGTGAAGCCTTCATTGATTTCCTTTGGTTTTCTCCTCTGAGTTTCCTTAGCAACTTGTATTTCTGTTGGTCATAGCACTTTATTATACTTTATCTATTTCAGAGGCACTTATCTTTCCACAAGACCACGATCTCCTTGTGACAGCTTTGTAATCTGGTGCCTGGTATTAGACCTGTACAGAGTGGGCATTTAGGAAGCATTTGCTGGAGGGCAACGAATATAATAATTATTCCCATATAACGGATTCTGTATTTACATCTAAATCAATGTACTTAGTCTATAGGTAAATACCTTCCAAAGTGATCTAAACATTAATAAATAAAACACAATACCTTAGGAAAAATCAGGAAACACAAAGTGTTATTTCAAATGCTGGGAGACATTATTACACTGTTAATTTCTAGTATATTTTTCCAGATCTATGAGATTTACTCCCAAATGCAGTGCCCAGGTCAGGAGTAAATCACATGCCTACGCCTATCCTTCCCCCTCCACAGCAGGAAATAGTGTTTCAATTTCAAATTTCCAACATGCTGCCTCCATCATGGTCCTGCTCCTGACTATGGCTACAACTCTAAATAGATTATTCTAGGACCTCCTTGGACACAGCACAGCCTCTGACCATAATTTTTAAACTTTAATCAACCTGCTGCCTCAGGGAATTCTAGAGAGTACAGCTTCTTTATGAGGACAGCAAGAAATTTGTAGGTTAGGAAGCATGTAAGGAACTGTTTGATTGTAAAATGGTAGAAATCACTGGTGAAGCTTACCCAGCCACAGTTTCTTTTCCTTCAAAATAAAGATCTGGTACCCAGTTCGAGGATTTAGGAAATGCTTTTGAGCAGAAGTGCTGCAAAGGCCTTGAGGAGGCTGAGGAAGAGGAAGAGAGACTGGATTCCTACAAAGAGAGAAGGAGAGAGGAGTGGAAACACCATGAGGTTCAAGTTGCCAGAAGGATGGCCCCGTCACATAGCACATTGCTGAAAAGGACACCTGTAGCAAAAGCATATCTCACACTAAAGGAGTCCTGCGGCCCTTGATTTTACCTCTTGGATCCCTGCTGCTCGCTTTCCTTGGGTTTTTCTCTCGACCATGCAAGCTGGATAAATAGAAGTAAAAAGGCTAGACGTAGTTCAGCCAAGGTTGTAAGGTAGTTGAAAGACTTAGACTTTTGGCTGCTTTTGACTAGGAGACAGACAGGAGTCTTAGCCTTTCAAGAGTGGATGGGAAGGTGATTAGAAAGTGACATTTTCATGGTTCCCAGATGGCTTTGTGTTTCCAGGTTGAAATGTGGTGAGAGTCCTGGCCTCAATAATTTCTTTAGTCACACAACAATTCTGAGACATGGAACGCATATGCTGCCCAAGACTATGCCAATGAAAGCCTCTGGATCATAGAATCTGCATGAGGATCTTGCCATAGCCTGTCACTGGAATAAGCTGTCTCTCGGTACAGAAAGGTTGTAAAAAACTGTCCTGGGATGCCATGATTGCTCTGATCCCAAGAACATCTTCTGTTTACAAATTCAAGTGTGTGGTGAAAGTATGCCTAGTTAGAGAAATTTTAATCCAGAAAAACAGATAAAATCTCCATAATACATTTTTTGTTAAGAACAAAAATGAACTCTTTTAAATTCTGCCCTCTCGATTCTATTGCCGATACAAGTACCAATATATTTTCACTCTGAAATTTGTTATCAGAAGCTTTTCTTTTTTATCAATTAAATTTCCAAGATAGTTAATAAAATAACTCTTAAAACTTCTAAAATGATAGTCAGCTCAAGATTATCAGGTTTTAGACAACATCTAATTCACTGAGGTTAGTCAAGCGCCCTGCAACTTCCTGAGTGAGGCCAAATTGATGACATGATGACATTTCATGTTGAGAAACTTCCGTTACAAGCCTAAGTTCTGAGAAAAATAATATGAAGAAATTGTAGATACTCTGTCACACCACACACGCACACTCTTCCATCCCCTCTACACCATCAAAGAAAACCGTTCGACTAATCAGGACACACAGGATGTCATGCTAGAATTATGTAAAGGTTAGGACAAAAATGAATAGGAACTAAATATAGGTAAAAGAACAGCAGTTTCTAAAATATTACCAGGTTTCCTGGTTACGGAAATAAGATAAAAGGAACCCTTACTTTAGGCTACCCCCTGTCCTACCACTGAATTCATCTGATCATATCCAGTGTTGACCTAGAGGTCCTGGTTTGAGCACTGTGTGACTTTGTGTAAGTCACTTAGCCTCTGAGCTTAGGTTTTTTGGGTTTTCTTATCCTCTATGAAATATAATAGTAACATTTCATATTTCTGTGCTGGTTAAATGAGATAATGTACACAAAACATTCAGCACAGTGCATGTCACGTGAATAAAAACTGATATTTGAACACAAAATGAAAGCAGTGCACATGTTACCCTAATACAGGCCTGGGCTTGTAGTGATTTGAAATTCTTCAGACACCGATTGTCTGAGGGCTAGGATAACTGTGTTGTGCCACAGCAGTGAGAATCAGCGGATTTAACAGAACCTCACAGATAATGACTATTTTGTCATGACAGAATATTTCTTTGTCGGGTTCTGATAGATTAGAAAGAGGCCATGTTGCATTTAGTTTTGATTCCTCACACTTGGCACACAACAGGAATAATCATTTTTTTAAAGATTTTATTTATTTATTTGACAGACAGAGATCACAAGTAGACAGAGAGGCAGGCAGAAGGAGAGGAGGAAGCAGGCTCCCTGCGAGCAGAGAGCCTGATGTGGGGCTCAATCCCAGGACTCTGAGATCATGACCTGAGCCGAAGGCAGAGGCTTTAACCTACTGAGCCACCCAGGCACCCCAGGAATAATCGTTTTTAAAGACCAAACAATTTGAGTATATAAATAACTGCTTATATTCATGAATAAAATTAAATCAATAAAAGATGTGGGGTTATTACTCCTAATACTGCACCTTGGGCCCTCTCTGGTCTTTACAATATGGAGTCGCAGCTCATTGTGTTGTAGCCCACACAGAAGCCCTTAGAAGGACACCCTAAATGCAGATTTTTACATATTTACAAAGTTAATGGCACTTAGGCAAATGATCTGCCGTGGGAAAATCACAGTGCAGAGGAAAATACAAGCTTTTCATCACTCTCCCTTTCTTTCTTCATCATGCAAACGTCTCACATTTGAATCACCAACAGTCTGAGTATTAGTGCATCTGCGTGATGTCTATCATAAATTAAGAAGCCATGATGGAAAAAATCTTTTAAATGGCATTACTGTGTTCAGAGATCTCCTTTGACCTCCTGGGATCCCTGGTGGGCCTGAAATGCAGGGCACTGTTCCCTCAGAGGGACGGAGTGGAATCCTGATGCAGAAGGCGAACAGGATCGTTTTCCTCTTCGACTTTTT